ATTTTGGTCTTGAAAGGATCACTCTGGCTGCTGTGTCGGCAGAGTCAACTACAGGGGGTAAAGGTACACAGGAGAGGAATTGGATTCTCTCAGTAGCAAGGATGTATCCACTGTTCTCTGATGGTCTCTCTTTGTACCTGGGCTATTCCGAGTCAGCCTCTCTGTTTGCCTCTGTCCTTTTTCCTACCTAAGAAATGACTTGCTGGCCCTCTCCCCTGTCAGCCTGCCCTCTGCTTTATATCTTCGGATTAACTTTCCCTCCCAGATCCCACTCTGTCTCCTTCAGCTTTCAGCTTCCACTCTTGCATCATATCCTAAAACACATAGTATCTAGTTAGTTCCTCTTTAATGTTAATAGCGTTTTAACAACGGCCCCTTTGGCTCCCTTGTTTTTTTGTTGAACCTCTCTAGACATATGCAAATAAATATTAAACATTTGCTTATTGCATGTAACATTTAATTCTCTGCTTTCTGACATTCCATCATGAGGCAAAGTCCTCTACAGGCACAAGCTTTGTATGACTCTCGAAAAACCCAACAGCTTAAGCTGCTTTAAACAAAGAGGGAAGTGGGAAAATCAACAACATCCCTCCCCTGCACAGACTAACAAACTCTTATGGGAGTATATCTGTTTAAACCAAATATGCTTAGATTACAAGGAAAAATACATGAATAATTTTTTTCATGTAGTCCTTTTCCTCTGTAGTTTTTCACTGCTACTTTTTCTCTGAGTAAAAAAACTAAAGCCTAAGGGACTTCTGATAAAGTTGGCACTATACCCGCAGGCTCACAAAAATTTCTTTCCCCATAATTTGCTGAAATTAACAAAAATGTAAAACTTCCAAAGAACATGCTGTGAACCCCAAAACCAAGAAAAGATCCCAACTTCATACCATTAGCTGAGAAATGCCACCCAGAAAAAGAAAAGTGGGACCAAACTGAACGAAGGTACTAAAAAGATCAATACATTCTTCAAAGAGAAGAGCGGAACATGGAAAAGTACAAGGAGGGAATTCTGAAAAGTCTCACTGCTTTTGCTGGTGTTGGCATTGAGTATAGGTGTGCCAGAGGGAAGGCTTGGAATAATCCACACCCGTCTAGGGATCCCTTCTTCCATCCAGAGGACATTCTCCCTCAGGCAAGAAGAGTCCAGAAGGTTTACCATCCTTCCTTGCCTCTGATACATCAATAAGTGGGCAAGGAATAGGGGAAGCGCCTATTAGAAATAATATTAGGGCTGAATCAAGAGAAAGCTCCACAAGACATGGAAAAAAAGAATAACTGACCTCCATCAAGCTACGAGATTACAAGACACCCCAGACTCGGTGAAGCAAACTTCTGGTGCATTTCTTTTCTTTTTCTTTTTTTCTTTTTAATGTTTGTTTTGAGAGAAAGAGCCAGAGTGTGAGCAGGGGAGCGGCAGAGAGAAAGGGAGACACAGAATCGGAAGCAGGCTCCAGCTCTGAGCTGTCAGCACAGAGCCCGACGCGGAGCTCGAACCCGCGAGTGAAATCATGACCTGAGCCAAAGTCGGACGCTCAACCGACTGTGCCACCCAGACGCCCCTGGTACATTTCTTTACTCTTAAGGAAGGAGCTCGATGGCAGCTACCTCAAGCCCAAGCTCTCTTTTCCTTCCTCTTGGGCAACCGGGAGACTAAATAAAGCATATAAATAATGGACATCTGGTCCACATCACAGGTGGAAGAATGAAACAATACCCAATCCAACACTATTTGGGGGCAGTTAGTAGGCTGAGAAAGAATGGCTCACATTCATTAGAGTTTCCAGGACGCACGGACACGCGACTGAGGCAAAAAGTCTTCACATACAAAAAAGTAACACAGCCCGCTGATGACAAATAAAGAATAGTCATAACTACCCGTGCTTATTGAGTACTGGCTATCTACCAGGCATTGTTTTTTAAGGGTTTTATGTGTATTAACGCCTTCAATCTTCACAATACGGGTACAAGCTAAGCACCATTGTCATCTCTGTTTCACAGGTAAGAAAACTAAGAGAAGTTAAGAAGCCGGCCCAGGTGTACCCAGGGTTTGAACACAGGCATTCTGTGTCCAGAGCCTGTTCTCAGCCCCTCTGCTCTTGCCCTCCAAGACACAGCATTTTAGACAACTGGTTTACTCTCAAGGAAATCAAAGAGAACAGAAATTTACAGGACATGCACCCTTTCTTGGAAGCTATTGGAGGGAGGAAAACCAAGAAAAAGGAAGACAAATCCTCGGGGATCCAATATGGAAGAGTAGTTTAAAAAGTTTCTGGGATAGGAACTGTGCCCTAGGCCAAAGGGGCATAAAGGATACGGGGAATATCAAAGAAAAAGACAGGTGATGTACTCAACAATCAGAAAAGTCATCACTGATCATTTGATGGATCTGTTAGAGCACCATCCAAAATTAGCAGTAGGTATATAGAAAGTAAAGCAGGTTTTTAAAATGAGTCAGTTATTAACTATAAGCAAGCACGGATTTACATGACAAAGTAAAGCGCAAAGATAGAGCGAATCTATATGTAACATATTTAGTGTATATTCTATGTAAATCATTTGTGCATTATATAATAGTATAACGTGTAATGTAAATACTATCGACTTAAATGTTTGATGTGATTATTGGATGATAAAGGAGAGGTAAGAGGGAGGTGAGAGAGCCAAATCACCAATGTCTATAATCTGGATAATGTCCAAAGGGATCAACCAAGAAATAACAGTATATGTGCGTTATTTGTTACTACTGGAAGCAGTAGTTAGAACAGTTGTGTGGACTGAGACTGTGAGGTGGGGCAGTGGGATCAGGTGGGCGAAAGGAAAAGCTGCTGTCTTTTTAAATCAGCATTTGATTTGTAAAATACCATGACTTTTTTAACTAGGCAAAACCCAAAGAAGCCAAAAACAAAGATGAAATGTTGTTAAACGTTAAAACCTCCCCCTGAAGAAGCACTTACTTATAAAATGCTTTCCCCCCCCACAAATTACTAAAGAATTAAACCAAAAACATTTTAATGAGAAACTCTGTGAACCCTCCTTAAAAATTAAAAATTGATTTCCTATACAGGTATGGCTCCAGGGAGTCTTAACTGCCTTTCTGTTAAAGAGAAAAACAACCAACAAAATGAAACTTTGAAAATTGTGTTTTGTTTAAGAAATTGAATCACAGACTTCCACCCTGTAATTGTATTCTTTTGGTTTTTCAAGATGCTAAAGAAGGGACCTTTATTTTAGCACTAGGGTGGAGGCGTAACAAAGCCATCTGCATGATGGATTTGGAGACGGGGAAGAGAGCCATTTTGGCTAAAAAGGGTTGCTGTACTGACGCCACGTGCAGAAACAAGTTTTCCCTGCCTCATGGTCTTTATATATTCTGTTTATACGTGAGCTCTAGGTTCCCATCGCAAACTGCTCATGTGTCGTGTTTCCCTTACATAGCATGGCTTTTCTTGACTCGTTGGTTCCTCTTCGGGGTCCCTTGGTGACCTTACATGTCGCTTGCAAAAAAAAAAAAAATCTATCCGTATCGTTCAGCAGGCTGAAAAAAGGAGAACATCGCAAGCACGTATGATATGCCAGTTTAGGAGTCGGCATGAAGAAATCCTAAAATGACTGTAATAAAGGAGGCATTACACAAGGTTTTCTGAGAAATTGGTGGGCACAGGTGGGGATTTAAGAGGAAATGAAAGAAACCTGAGGGAGTCTGGAAGCCCCATACTGTGGGCTTTGAACTAGAGGTTGAAAATCTTGGTCCTGGGAGGCTGGAGACGGGGTGGGGAGGGGGGGTCGATACCAACAGCCCAGGAACTGGAACGGCTAATTAATTAGCAGCAGTAACTATCAACCAGAACATGATGGCAGTGTGTACGAGCAGTTTGTTGAAAAAAGTGATGCGTGTAGTTTGGGGTCTTGGAGACTGTAGTAGCAAATAAAGAAGAGAAAGGGGTTTATGCTGGAAGTCTTGTAGAAGGAGTAAGTTTTGGTGGTGGAGGGGAAGAGCCAACAGTGAAGTAGAGATTATGCCAAATTCCTTTTTACTTGAGAAACTGAGAAGTACAGGAATGTGGGCAGAGGATCCTGAAGGAAAAGCATAGGTACCTCTGACTTCACCATGCTTGGGTAAAGCAGGCACAGAGACATTTATATATTGTGTGATTGATTTCTGAGCACAGAAAACATGTTAAAAGATTCTTGGTCATCTGGTTTACCCTTTCCCTGGGATTACATATAAATTTCGGGATTACATCTAAATTTACACAGCACCTGGGGAGGGGAGCCACACAGGCTGTGTAGAAGTCCGTTTGTAAATGCAGCGTGAGGGGACACTAGCGGCCAGTGGTGTAGTCTGTGTAAAGCTAGGTTTCATTAGAGAACTGTAGACGTTGATGGCTTTTGGTTCTGACTCATCCTGCTTCCTTTCAGCATCCTTAAAATATTTGTCCAGAGGGGCGCCTGGGTGGCTCGGTCGGTTAAGCGTCCGACTTCGGCTCAGGTCATGATCTCACGGTCTGTGAGTTCGAGCCCCGCGTCGGGCTCTGTGCTGATGGCTCAGAGCCTGGAGCCTGTTTCAGATTCTGTGGCTCCCTCTGTCTCTGCCCCTCCCCTGTTTATGCTCTGTCTCTCTCTGTCTCAAAAATAAATAAACGTTAAAAAAAAATTTTTTTTTAAATTAAAAAAAAAAAAATTTGTCCAGAGACATTTGCATTTTGGCTTTCTTCTCTTCATGACTGTTCAAGGACTCTGCTTCAGAGTCAGCACACAGCCCGGTGGACGTCATGAACAGGTAGACCGCTGAAGCCAATGACCAACGTGACTCCTGGCGCCATCTGTTGGTGGCAGGCAGAACTGACGTGCTTTGTCCCTGCCTGATTTTGTTGGCAATACGCAAGATCCCACGTTGGTACTTCATAAGTAGAGGAGCGTATACAATTTCAAAGTCATGTACTACTGACTGAGCCAGCCAGCAACACTTTTCTCTTTCTTTCTCCGTTGTGAAGGTGTGGCGAGGCACGCTGGCCCGCATGCGGTACAAGAGAACCAAGGCAGCTCTGACGATTATCAGATATTACCGACGTTACAAAGTGAAGTCCTACATTCATGAGGTTGCCAGACGCTTCCACGGCGTCAAGAGCATGAAGGACTACGGGAAGCACGTGAAGTGGCCAACCCCACCTAAAGTTCTTCGCCGTTTCGAGGAGGCCTTACAGGCAATTTTTAATAGGTAAGAGCCTGCTGCTTCCATTTATGGTAACACACTTAATATATAAAGTCACAAATCTGAGACCGTGGTATTGGCCCAGCCGTCTGCCCATGTGACTTTTACCTCATGTCTTCAGGTCTGAAGGTTTTGCTTTCAAAGGGCATCTGTTTACCTCTCAAAATAGCAGAACCTGTTTGTATTTTTCCCTGTGTCAGCACACAGATGACAGCAGTGTGCACAACCCCTGAATCATGCCATAGTTAAGCTATTACATGCTATCTTTTTCTTTTATGAGCAAGAAATAACTATTTATTAAAATCACTACATAAAACTCAAACCAGAAAGTCTGTTAATCCTTTGCTTCTCTATCCTGGTTATGAAACATACCAAGGAGTTTATGAAACATACCAATGCCCACATCCTGCCTCCAGAAAGTCATGTTTAACAGAACCAGGGAGGGGGGCCCAAACAGAGGTCCTTTTTTTTTTTTTCTTTGAGAGAGAGAGGGAAAGAAAGAGGAGTGCAAGTGGGATAGAGAGAAAGAATCTCCAGCAGGGTCCACACCCAGCACAGAGCCTCACGCAGGGCTCGATCCCACGACCCTGGGATCATGACCTTGGTTGAAATCAAGAATCAGACACTCAACCAACTGAGCCACCCAGGCGTGCCAAACAGAGGTTCTTTCTAAAGTTTCCCAGATGACTTTAAAGTACAAGGGGGAATGCAGTTGTTTTAAAGCAACCTTTTTTTTTTTTTTTTTAACACAGTAAATAAACACCCATGTAAAATCTAATATCTTTTCAGCTGATCTTCGTTTTTGGTAGGCTGCCCTGAATCTGAGTGTGTAGTTAGTTACTCACAGCTCCCTCCCCTTCATCACGTAGCCTGTTTGTTGCCACTGGGCACCAGTTACATTTAGCTGTGGCTTAGATACAGCCGTCCAGTCACACACACTAAGCTAGCAGTCTCAAATGTGGTCATGTGGCATTGGGGTATTTCCCAAAGAACACGATGAAATAATTGGCCTACTGAATGTAAAAGAACTAATTTCTAATTCTGTGCTAAATCAGATTTCATCTTCTTTTAGAGTTAGCTCTGTATAACTGGTGGCAGATATCAAAAGATGTTTAAAAATGCAGAGGAAAAAAATGCTTTAATATGTATCCTATTTGCCTTTTGTAAAAAGAAAAAGAAAGAGGAATGATGTCTCATAAAAAGGAAAAAAAATCAAACAGTAATTACTGAAAGCAAAATTACCTCTGTTCTCAGATCTAATACGATCAATGTTCACTGTAAACCTTGGCAGGCTTTTTAATGCACAGGTAAGTGTTTTTCATGAATGGTATCTGTAACCTGCACTTTTGACATAATTTAAAAAGTAGCTAAGCTGTACGTGAATACGTGCTCACTATGGTTTTTTTTAAGTGATAAAATACGGAAATGTATAGGATATCAAGTTGAAATTCTCCATACCTCCTCTCCTCTCCTCTCCTCCATCATATTTCCTTCCCCTGAGATAATCACTCATTAACAGTTAGTTTGCACCCTTATATATGTCTGTGTCTGTGCGTTTACAAACACATGCCCCCATGTAAGGGACAGCATGGTATAATGGTTAAGAACACAAACCCTGAAGCCTGGGTCCATGTTCAGTCTCTGTTGCTGCCTGGTTGTGTAACCTTGGGCAAACTAGATAATCTCTCTGTGCCTCAGTTTCCATACCGTATTATGGTAAAAGTAGCATAATAGTAGTACCTGCTTGTAAGATTGTTGAAAAGGTTATGAGTAAATAGATGTATGAAGCGTTTCAGATAGTAACTGACACATAATAAACACTGTAGAAATGTTTGTTCATACTAAGAGTGTGTATGCATATCACATATCATTTGAGACTTTTTTCCTCTCTTTTTTTACACAAATAAGGTTATATGACTACTTAAAATTTTTGGAGGGGCACCTGCGTGGCTCAGTCAGTTAAGTGTCTGACTCTTGATTTCAGCTCAGGTCATGATGTCAAGGTTCAGTTCATGAGATCGAGCCCTACGTTGGGCCCTATGCTGGCAGCATAGAACCTGTTTGGGAATCACTGTCTTTCCTCTCTCTTTTTCTCTCTAAATAAATCAATAAACTGAAAAAAAAAATTGGGGGGGGGGGGAGACCTGTCCATGACAAGAAAGATCTATGTAGTATTTTTAATTGCCACCAAGAATTATTGATTTGACTGTGTCGCACTGTGACTTGTACAGTCTTCTTTTTAGATTTTGATGGTTTTGTATATGGCCTATAATTGATTAATTATTGCAAAATTCAGTTTATTCGTTTAGCATATACTTACTCCAGGCCAACTGTGTCGTGGTCACTGGCCTGGGTTCCAGGGATATGGTGACAAAAAATAAAGATATAAGAGATAGTCCCAGCCTTCTTGGGGCTTAGGTTAATGAGCACTTTGAAAATAACGCATCTGCTGTGTCTGCTAACCTTGCTCACACACAGACACACGCGCATGTGCACACACACTAAATGAATCCTGCCAGTTGTGTTAATCTCGTCCAAAGGCAGACTTTTTCTGTTAAGGGCCAGATAATAAATATTTTAGGCTTTATGGGCTACATATGGTCTCTGTCACATATTTTCCTTTGTTTTGCTCTGGTTTTGTCAAACATGTAAAAACTATTCTTAGCTCACGAGCAGCTCAAAACCAGGCCATAGGCTGAATTTGGCACAGACTGTGGTTTACCAACCCCTGATGTAGTCACTGTATCCTACTTAATTTATTCTTAACTTTTTTGATCTGTGGACTACTGAGAAATTAAAGGATTCCACTCTGATCATGGGTTTTTGTTTGTTTTGTTTGTTTTCTAAAATCACAGCCTGTCTAATCATGGTTAAGCTCGCTCCTGTTCCTCACAGTAATTCTTTTCCATTCTGGAAAGACTGGGAGCCTTCCTCATGCTCAGCTTTGCGCCCCTTACCATGTTGTCGAGACTGGCGATTTTTATGGCCTCCATAAACATGTTGTTGGGGGCTACATAGGTTTACAGATGACAGTTTACTTATCAGATGCCCAGCATGCCTCTGGAGTCAGTCACGTGTAGGCCTTGTCCTGGGCCACTGTGGGTAGTGAAGAAGGGACAGACGGACTGGGCACTGAGGCCGAAAACAGACCAGCAGATAGAGCAAAGACGTCCCCCCACTGAGAATAAAATTTGGACCTGAGGGCTAATTGGGGCAGTTGCTCAGCAAGCCGCTTAGTGTTGTAGGATGTGCCCGTCACCAGTTGACCTTGACTATGACCACCAACTGCTCCCAGCCTGTCATTCTGCCAGCCTTTTGTGGAATGACCTTAGGACAGTCTGTCCCATTGGAGTGTCACTTGGCCCCAGAGAGCAGAGAAGAGGATTTCACTCTTAGGCTGAGCCTTTACTTCTTCCATGGCTGTTGTTTTTGTATCCTGCTACCTTTGACGCTGTCTGCTGCAGCAGATGGCCCCATCTCACCACGGGCAGCCATTCTTTGTGCGGAGAACTGGCACATCTCCCACCGTGATATCCTTCACCGCCTGTCCTGGCCACCAGCCCTGGCTCCTTCAGGCCCAAGGACTGTCCGTGCCATTTCTGCTGAAGGGGTTCCTCTCTTCCCACCAAGTGGACCGCACAGTCCAGCACTGAGCCACCTCACCAGCAGCTCGGGCCCGTCTGCCTCGAATCTCTAAGAAATGCTTCATGTCTTTCAGTTCATTGATATCGTTCTTGTTTGCTGGTGCTGCTACAAAGTTTTTCCTCATTTTTATATTTATTTGGTTATTTCAGTAGGAATTTAAGAGAGAAAAACAAACCTTTAGGCTCAGGTCACCCTCTTGAAAATGGAATACATCTTGGGGAAGTCTTAGATGGAAGCAGTCTAATATTTCGTGTACCTACTTAGGGGAGAGAGCACCGCCTCTCCATGTTAGGTGCGTCTTATCCTCATGTCCTGAGGAAGCACAGCCAGAGAACCACCGGCCCGATTACTCCATCTGATAGAAAGAAGTTCTGGGGGCACCTGGATGGCTCAGTTGGTTAAGTGTCTGACTCTTGATTTCGACTCAGGTCATGATTTCATGGTGCGTGAGATCGAGCCCCGTGTCAGGCTCCATACTGAGCATGAAGCCTGCTTAAGATTCTTTCTCCCTCTACCCCTGCTCTCTTTCAAGGAGCAGGAGAAGGAGGAGGATGAGATGGAGTTGGGCATGTTGTTATTCTGGGTTTGCTTCCATTCCCCTGCTTTAAGACGGCATAAGTGCATGTAGGGCTCAGATGGCTCTGATAGAATAAAAGCTTTGTGCTTGTTTTTCTCAATCAGGAATAGATTAACTTATGTTTTTAGTTACTTGGGCCAACAATCTCAGAGTCGTCTTTAAATTCTCCCTTATTCTCTTGCTCCCACATCTAATACATCGGCATCTCTCCTGGCGTGTCCTTCAAAACACATCTTGGCCCAACACCTGTCTCTGCCTCTACCATTCCCTCTGCAATCCCAGCCATTGATCTCTCCCATGTGCATTACACAAAGAGCCTCCTACCCACTCCAGCCTTCTTTCACACAGCAGTTGGGATGATCCTGTAAAGCAGGGGTCAGGTCATGTCCCTTCCTTGTTCAGAACCTTCCAGTGGCTTCTAGTCTCATTCAGAGTAAAGGCCAGAGTCCTCACAATGGCCTCCGTGGCTGTGTGGATCTGTCCCTGGGCTCCTCTCTGGCCTCCCCACCTGCTCCCCTCCCCACACCCTTCCTGCTGCAGCTTCACAGGGCTCCTCACTGGTCCCCCAACCCACTCAGCAGGTACACACTTTAGAACCCTTGCACTACTGTGCTCTTCCTGGAGAAGACGCTCTTGTTCAAATATCCACGCACCCCCCTCACTTCCTGAATGTCTCTGCTCACAGATCCTGATCAGTGGTGCCCCCCCAGACCTCCCTATATCAATAACACCCCAAACCCGTTCCTGCTCTCCACTGCACCCCTGTCCTTCCTTCGTTGCCCGAGTTTCTCCATAGCACTTAGCACGTCACTCATGCTTGTTGGTTTCTTTGCTGTCTGTCCCTGCTTCTAGAATGTAAGCACCTAGCAGAAAGGACCTTTATCCGACTGTTCACTGCTGGGCCTCCACCGCCCAGCATCAGGAGTTTAGTAAGTGCCTAGGAAGCATTTATTGATTGAATGAGTGATGAATCCAAACTCTCTGTGCTCTAACCATAACTGTTAGGAGAACCCATGTATCATGAAGTTCTAGTTGCTTTCAAAACACACAAATGACAAAGAAAGTTATGCAAATCTTTGTCTAACAAGCTCTGTGTATATTTTGGAGACCTTTGATTTTTGTTTGTTGTTGTTGTTGTTGTTGTTGTTGTTGTTGTTGTTGTTGTATTGAGTAGCATGCAAGTACTTTGGCTTAAATTCTGCTTAATGGCAGCTCAGTTATTTTGGGGAATGAATGGGATTAGGCTTGTAAATCCTAATATATTTCGTTTATTGACTTACAGATGGAGAGCATCCCAGCTCATCAAGAGCATGCCCGCCTCTGACCTGCCCCAAGTCAGGGCAAAGGTTGCAGCCATGGAAATGTTGAAAGGCCAAAGGGCTGACCTGGGACTGCAAAGAGCCTGGGAGGGCAACTATCTTGCTTCGGTACGTCCAGGAGAACAAAGTACAATCGACTCCTGCTCCCTTTACAGGAAGGATTTACAGAAAGGGAAGAATTTTTCTGCAAGAATTTGTGGAAAGAACAAGACACCTACAGAAACTAAACTTCTATAAGTGATAAGATACTAAACAAAAAGATTTTGTTGCTTCTAAATGTGCAATATTTGATGTTTCCCCTGCTTTAAAAAAGGTTGTCTGTGTCTCTGTGCCATATGTATTAGGTACACTCCACAACCTAATTTTTACACATTTAAACATTCCCTTGCATAAGTCAGCAGCAATTTTTAATTACCACCTTTATATTAATTATTCCCAAAGCAACATTTCATTCTCCCTCCCATCCCTTATTTTAAAAATTTTATAGGCCCTCCGGTATTATTGTGACACCCCTTTAGCTGCTCACCATCTGGGATGGGAGATAAAAGTATGTGTGTGAAACTGAGCATGGTTACAAAGCAGGCAACCGAAAGATTCCCTTTTCATCTAAAATGCTAAGCAGACTCATTTTGTCATGTTTCCTTTTTCTTTCAGAAGCCAGATACACCTCAGACCTCAGGCACTTTTGTCCCCGTCGCAAATGAACTGAAACGGAAGGACAAATACATGAACATCCTCTTTTCCTGTCACGTCCGTAAGGTGAGGCGGGCTTGAAACAGACCTCCACGGGAAGAAAAGATGCATTCAGATGAACTTAAACTAGCCGTGACTGCAGGAAGGCATCACACAAGGTCCATCCCTAGCTACACCACCAGTGAGCTCTGCCTGCCTGTGGGGAGGCATGGGTGTAATGGCTGATGTGACTTCGGCTTCAGGGATAGGTTCTGAAGCCTTTGTAAGGGAAGTGGAGATTTTTGGTAACTGTCTCTAGGGAGGAACCTCCCCGAGATCAGGGATTTGTATTTTACTGCATGTGAGTCTTTCCTAGCACGTGCCAGTCTACCTTGCATTTCATGGGCATTTAGTACCTTTTTTTTAATAATTATTTTTAATATTTTATTGGTTTTTGAGAGAGAGGATGAGAGAGTGAGCACAAGTTGGGGAAGGGCAGAAGGAGGAGGTCAGAGGATCCAAAGCAGGCTCCGGGCTGACAGCAGAGAGCCCAACACGGGGCTCAAACTCACGAATCACGAGATCATGACCTGAGCTGAAGTCGGATGCCCAACCGACTGAGCCACCCGGCACCCCAGATGGTCATTTAGTATTTTTTTATACATGTTTTATTACTATTTTAAAGGAGGGGAGGGAGGAAGGACATAGGTTAGAAAAAGGAGAAGGACAGAGAATTTGGGAGGTGGGGGAAGGGGGAAGTTATGAACTATGAATATAGTTGCTTATCTGAGGCAACACATGGGTGTGGACTGTTATTTACCTATAGATGATGGCCTTGGGGCAGGCAGAAGTGTGGAAGTTGGAGAGTGGAAGGCAGGGGACATAGTTGGTTTTTTTAAATTGTAGAATACTTGTTTTCAAAACATACAGAGGACATTGCAATAATTAATAAAAGCATTGTGCAAAATTAAGCAAATAAACTTCAAAATATTAATGAAATGGGTGAATTTAAGAAAAATATTTCCTAGCTTGACCCCAGAAGAAATATTGACACATATGCCAATATATTCCCAAAGGAGGAAAGAATTATCTCATAACAAAAGCCCAGGTTTGGGTGATTTTACAGTTGTTTTCTTTCAAATCTTGAAAGAATACACAATTGCAATATTATTCAGGTCAAAATAATGAAATATTTTTCCATTGTAAGTTTGGCAAACTTTAAGATGTTGATAGCAACCAGTGTATGCAAGAATTTAGAGGAAACACTGTTGGTAGGAGGCCTTTTGAGTGAATAGTTTGGCAATAGCTATCAAAAATTTAAATGCTCAGACCACTTAATCTAGGAATTCCACAACTCAGGATTTATTGTACAATATATTCACACGTATATCCAAAAATAGAGTTTTATATGTTGTAACAGCCAAAAAACTGGGAAAAAATTACATAAATATATGATTAGACAAACAAATTGTGTATGTGCACCGTAGAATACAGCGTAGCTGCAAGATGAACAAAAGAAGGATAAATGTTAAAGAAACTTGAAACCATGGTTTTCCAGTCACTCACATCAAGCAAGGGAAGACGGCGATTCTTAAGATACAAGAAGTAAATGAGTGAGCCCTGCAGTTAGCTGGTTTACTTCCTTGAGAGACTTTCTAGTCTGTGGATGAGTGGGGAAGCCAAGGCAGAGCTCAGTAGACTCCGCTAGTGAAACAAGAGAGCTGAGCTGGGAGACATCACACAGCTGGAGTTTGCAGAGCAGAGAGACAGAGAACAGCATGCTGCATAGGGGGACCTCCAGATAGCCTCAGAGGGTCCACAGCAGGTGTTCATCTGGGCGCTGCTCAGCATGTGCATGTGAAGCAACTACCCAAGGTCAGAGAAACAACCACCCCAAAGGGTAAGAAGCAACAATGGCCAGCACTCACCAAGGGTTGCAAATAGTACCTGCTCCCACCAACCTTTGGAAAAACCTCATGATTCATTGGATACCAGGGAGAGTACAGACAGAAATCTTGGCATTGCTCTTAGGGAGTAATTAGCCCTTGACTAAATGCTGCCCTAATCCCAGCCAGCAAATCTTGAAAACATGACCCAAAAGAACCATACAGTTTCCAAGAAACCTGTGCCCCAGAACAAAGCTCAAAAATATTTATGGGAATACAAACTCTTTAGCACCCAGAAGATAAAATTCAGAATTCGTGCCATTGGATCCAAAATTACCATGCTTACAAAACAGCAGGAAACTACAACCTATAATGAGAAGAAAAGTCAGTCATTCGAACTGATCCAGGACTGACATAGATTATAGAATTAAAAGACAAGGTCAGGGGCACCTGGGTGGCTCAGTCAGTTGGGCATCCAGCTTTGGCTCAGGTTGTGATCTCATGGCTCATGAGTTCGAACCCTGTGTCGGGCTCTGTGCTAACAGATCAGAGCCTGGAGCCTGCTTCAGATTCTTGTCTCCCTCTCTCTCTGTTCCTCCCCTGCTCACGCTCTGTCTCTTTCTCAAAAATAAATGAACATTAAAACAAAAAAACAAAAGACAAAGTCATTAAAATAATTGTTATGCATATGTTACGGATAGGGATAAAAAACAGCCTCTAAGGTCTTTTTTTTTTTTTTTAATTCACTTGATGAGGTTAACAGCAGTGTAGATATTGCAGAAGAAAGATTTGTAAACTTGAAGATACAGCAATAAAAGTACCTGAAATGAGACACAGTGAGAAAAGGGGGGAAAAAGATGCCACCGCCTTAAAAAAGAGCAAAAAATTAGGACCCTGCAAGACAATGTCAAGTGGCCCAATACACGTGCTTGTGGAGTCCCTGTAGGAGAGAAGAGAAGGGGGAAATTTAAAATATTTGAAAAAATAATGGCTGAAATTTTTTCAAATTTGATGAAAACTGCAAACTCTTAGACTCAAGAAACTCAACAAACCCCAAACACAAAGCAACATGAAGAAGGCTGTACCAAGGCACAACATGATCAAATTGCTTAAAAGTAGTGATAAAGAGAAAAAAGAGGGGCACCTGGGTGGCTCAGTCGGTTGAATGTCCAACTCTTGATTTCGGCTTAGGTCATGATCTCACAGTTTTTGGGATCGAGCCCCACATCGGGCTCTGTGCTGACAGTGCAGAGCCTGCTTGGGGTTCTCTCCCTCCCTCTCTCTCTGCCTCTCCCCTGCTTGCTCATGCTCTCTCTCACAAAATAAATAAGCATTTTAAAAAGAAAAAAGATTGAGGAGAAAGATGAGGATGCATCAGATTCCTTGTCAGAAAACAATGCAAATGAGAAGATAGTTGGATGTGAGAGCTTCTTGTACTGAAAGAAGGCAAAGGCTGTCAACCTAGAAGTCACCACCCACCGAATACATCTTTTAAAAACCAAAGTGACACGGGGGCGTCTGGTGGCTAAGTCTGTTAAGCATCCGACTTCAGCTCAGGTCACAATCTTACCTTTTGTGAGTTTGAAACCTGGGTCGGGATCTTGCTGTCATCATGGAACTTGCTTTGGATCCTCTGTCCCCCTTTCTCTAAGTCCCTCCCCTGTTCATTCTCACTCTGTCTCTCTCTCTCTCTCTCTCCCTCAAAATAAATAAACTTAAAAAAGATTTTAAATAAATAAACCAAAGTGAAGTAAAGACTTCTTCAGACTTATCCAAAAATATGCATTACAGGAAATGTTAGAGAATGTCCTTCAGAGAGAAGGAAAGTGATTCCAGACGGTAATATGGGGCATACACCAAGGAATGAAGAGTAAGGGGAATGGTGGCCACATGTGTAAATAATATTTTTCTTATTATTTAAATTTTGGGGGGGCACCTGGGTGACTTAGTTGAGCGTCTGACTTCAGCTTAGGTTGTGATCTCACAGTTCGTGAGTCTGAGTCCCACATCGGGCTCTCTGCTGTCAGCACAGAGCCCACTTTGGATCCTCTGTCCCCCTCTCTCTCTGCCCCTACCCCACTTTTTCTCTCTCTCTCTCTTTCTCTCAAAATAAATAAATGAACTTTCAATCAGTCAATCATTCGATCTCCTGAAAAGACAATTGCATACCAATGCTCATAGCATTCTTCACAGTAGTTAAGGTAGAAACAACCCAAATGTCCATGGACAGATGAATAAAGAATACATGTATCCACACGATGGAATACTGTTCAGCCATAAAAAGGAATGAAATACATGCTACAGGGTGGATGACCTTGAAGATATTATCTGAGTGAATAAGACACAAAAAGACAACGATTGTATTACACTTATGTGAAGTAATAGATTAGTTGCATTAATAGAGAAAGAAAGTAGAATAGTGGTGACCCCGGGCTGGGGTATTCAAATATTCTGAGGAAGAAGAAATCACCTCAATACGATACAGACTTTTTAACAAAATAGACAGTAACTTTTTTTAAACTCCGAATGAAATAAACATCACCAAGGAAAGCTTGTTGACAGTATGTTGGAGTCTAATTCTGAACTCATAGATCTGGAAACTCTTTTAGAAGTAGACCTGGAGTTGATCAGACAATCAAGAAATGGCTTTTGCTGACCAGAATCAGACACAAAACCATATATAAGCCACAATGTCAATTGGTGAATTTCACAACAGAATGTATCATTTTATTGAATTCTCATATCTACTATCTAGGGTACTCCTTTCTAGTATCAAGCTATATGAGAAATTAGTAATCAGAACAGTTGACCAAAGAGCATTGAATGGTTGTAAGAATTATGTCATCTACTACGGAAAAACCTGATGTCTGATTCTGTCGTTCCAGTGATGACAGTTTGATGTCTGACAGCATGTCTCTACCTGGATCCTGCTGGATAAAAGCTGAAAAATTCTTAGTCATGCTCCTGTGTTTCTAAATTCAGTGGAAAATAATATTTCTTCACACTATGCCTTAAATAATTTAATTTTTTTTTTATTTGAGTATAGTTGACATGCAGTGTTACATCAATTTCAGGTACAACATAGTGATTCAACAACTGTCTACATTGTGCTATGCTCACCACAAGTGTAGCTATCATAGGTCACAAAACCACACTATTACAATATCATTGACTATATTATCTATGCTGTCCCTTGTATTT